GATCAGGGTGTTATTGAGTTAGACCTTCGAAAGTGGCACGATGGCAGAGTGTGGCGATGTCAAGGACGGCGATATGCTTTGGGGGATGAGTGGTAGGAAGAGTGGAGGCGGGAGGCACTGATACGTCCATCTCGGCAGCCAGCATGAGGAGCGCGTAGGGTGGGGAACGAGAAGGGTTTTCATGTGCGCCTAGATTACGAGCGGCGAGCTCGTGCTAACTCTGAAGTGGAGGAGGCCAGTGGAGGATCAGAGGCAGGGTGCTCACCTATGACAATCCTGGCGGACACACCAGCAGTGTGGAGGCGCACCGGGGAAAAGTGAGCTCAAGGCTAGAGTGTTGGCGATGGAGGCAGGCGTAGCAATGTCTGACGGCGCGGTACAGGGACCTATTAGAGTCAGAGCTGTAGGAACTGGTGCCGCAGCAGCATGAGCCAGCTTTGTCGTCCGGTTAGGATTATTGACATTTGACTTGCCGTTGCGCAATCGTGCAGCAGCAATGGCGGGGCCGTAATTCTGCCTGGGGGTATGACAAAATGGGGTGGCGGCGACCAGGCGGTGTGAGGTGACCTGAAAGTGGGCCCACAGCGTCTGGAGGCGTTGATTCCTGGAAGGATGTTTAACGTCAGGGGATGTCAGCGAGCAGCAGGCAGTTTGATCAGGCCTTACTATGCCTCGCCTGATTACCATATTCACCAAACGTGAGTTCTCTCACACTTTGGTGTGGATAGTCGTGTCCTGCGCGGAGTTACCAATACCTCCTTGCCGCCAATACCACATGCGATCCGATGCCTCGCTACTGGCAGGGCATGGAAGCCTTTCTCAAGGGGCCCAATTCACGCTCCGTTGGGGGCTCACAGGTCACCGTTTCCGAATGCCCAGTAGACAAGGAGTTTGTCTAACCGCGGATGGCAGGGTGCTGACCCAGAAGGCCCAAGCCTGTTGTTTGAGAGGTCCTGCTCCGGGTCCACCTGATGCTGCTGCTGCTGCTTGCGGCTGGTTAGTAGTTTTCCTCATCTGCGCTGGTGAAGGGATGCTACTCATCCTCGAACTGCAGATGTGGCAGCCGCTGCTTGGTGGAGCTGCCACATTGCTCATACCAACCGGACCCTCTCAGATGCCATGGCATGCGGAACGCGCGAGCGCCTCGGGCCCCACACGTGTCTGAGGCTGGTCGATGCGCTACAACAAGCGCAGTGACCCAACTGACTAAGAAGGTGCTGTTTATCGTACGTTATTTTGCGCCTTCCCTCTCTGCAGATGTGACACCAGGCCTCCATTTTTTTGACGGGTTGCGAGGGTCCAATCAACAGGTGGACAGCCAAACCATGTCATTCCCTCTTTTTCTTTTCGGTTGATGGTTATTATTCGGCTGTACACGCTACGCACAGCAATCGCGAGCATGCTATGGGCCATTTGTGCCATCGGTACATGCGCGGGACATCCCTGCCTCCATTCCAGAGCATACTTGACACGGGTGCGTCTGGGTCCTCTGTCTTCCTCCCTCCTCCTCCTCTACCAGATGCTCTGCTCCTCCTCTTCCTGTCCGCTGAGTGGAAAAACCACCCATTTTCAACTCAATAATTCCTGAGCTCAATTCTGTGTCTGTCCACTGAGTAGTCAGTAAACAATTCTGTGTCTGTCCCTGAGTAACAATTCTGTGTCCCTCAGTAACAATTCTGTTGTCCCTCAGTAACAATTCTGTGTTGTCCCTGAGTAAACAATTCTGTGTCTGGTCCCCTCAGTAACTATTCTGTGTCCCTTCTGTAACTAATTCTGTTTGTCCGCAGAGTAACAATTCTGTGTCTGTCCCTGAGTAACAATTCTGTGTCTGTCCTGAGTATACAATTCTGTGGTCTGTCCCTGAGTAATGGGTTCTTGTGTCCCTAAGTAACACGGTTTCTGTGTCCATAAGTAAAGGTTCTGTGTCCTAAGTAACGATTCTGTGGTCCTAATTACTGAGAGATCTGTCTCGCTTGAATGACCAGAGGCAAAATGGAGAATTGTAAGATGGGGGGGGGGGGGGGGGTAAGATGGGGGGCGGGGGGGGGGGGGGGGGGGGGGGGTCCGCATTTGTTTTGCTCACCATTTAACACAGTGCTGGCTGGCTGGCTGCTGATTGGCTCTATATTGCGATCCACATGTCTTGAATGAATGCATTATGGGTGTCAGTCGCGCCTGCCCAGAGATCCCTGCTCCGTCGCCGCCACATGTCGCCGCCACTTTTAGGAAATAATTTTCGGATGCCGCGAATCGAAAGTTTTTCCCAAAATGGCGGGGCGAACATGTGCGGCGGGCGGGAGCAGGGATCTCTGGGATAGGCGCGCAGGACAAGGCGCGACGGAAATTTTTCTAATAATTCGAAACGAATTCACTTCGCCGGAGTGTCGAATTCGGCTCATCTCTAGTTATTTACAACTGAATGAAGTGTTCCTGTAATATGTTGTTTTGCAAGTCAGTTTAAATAGGTTTGATTACCTGCAAAAGAGAATCTTGGACAGCATAGGTTCTAATAGCGAGAAAGATTGTGTAAGTGATGACTAAAAAAGCCGTGAAATGCTGCTACATAACTGCTGTCAAAGGTGTTGTTGTGTGTCCACTGTGTAATGCAATAAAACAAAGCAGATACTCATTTTATATATGAGAACCAACAACCCCATTCACGTTTTTATATTAGAAGAATTTACATACATTTGTGTGTGTGGGTGTATAATATATATATACACTCACAAAACACACATTATTCTGTGCCACATTTAGTACTGTGGTCGGCCTGCCTTTACGATGCACGATGATACTTTAATGGCATCCCAGTCTTAGTCCGTAGGGTTTTCAAATATTGAGTTGGCCCACCCTTTGCAGAATATAACAGGCAGCGGCCTCGACACAATCCCATGTACCAGGTTTGCCATGGTGACTAGATAAGGTGTGTGAGGCTGGGGGCTAGGGAGGAGTGGCACTGTCAGGGTGGAGGGCAGGAAGCAGTGGGAATGTGAAGGGTGGGTTAGATTCGGGGCTGTAGAGTAGTAGGAGAGGCAGGTAAGAAGAGTAGCGGAGCTGGCAGGAAGTGTCCCCTGTGTGGCTCTCTTTGACACCTGCTGCTCCAGGGAGACTCTCAGCCTCACCTCAGAGCAGGAACTGGTGGCGTGACAGCCAGTGTGGCCACCTATCAGTGCCCCATTAGTGCAGCTTCATCAGTGCCCCATCAGTGCAGCCCCATCAGTGCAGCCTCATCAGTGCAGCCTTATCAGTGCAGCCCCATCAGTGCAGCCTCATCAGTGGCCCCATCAGTGCAGCCTCATCAGTGCCCCATCAGTGCAGCCTCATCAATGCCCCATCAGTGCAGCCCCATCAGTGCCTCATCAATGCAGCCTTGTCAGTGCAACCAATCAGTGCAGCCTTATCAGTGCTCCATCAGTGCAGCCTCATCAGTGGTTCCATCAGTGCAGCCTTATCCGTACCCCAACCGTGCAGCCTCATCAGTGCCCTATCAGTGCAACCTCATCAGTGCCCCATCAGTGCAGCCTCTTCAGTGCCCCATTAGTGCAGCCTTATCCGTGGCCCCATCAGTACCGCCTTATCAGTGGCCCCCTCATCAGTGCCCCATCAGTACCGCCTTATTAGTGGCCCCATCAGTGAAGCCTAATCAGTGCCTCATCAGTGCAGCCTCATCATAGCCCCATCAGTGCAGCCTCACCAGTGGCCCTATCAGTGCAGTAGTCTCATCAGTGCCTCATCAGTGCAGTCTTATCACTGCACGTCAATGAAGAAAAATTACTTATTTAAAGAAAAAGTTTTTTTTTTTTAATGTTCTTGTTTTTTTGTGTATTTAGTAACAAATAAAAACCCCAGTGGTGATTAAATATGACTTGAAGAAAGCTGTATCTGTCTAAAAAAAAAGATAAAAATTTAATTTGGGTACAGTGTTGCATGACCATGCTATTGTCCTTTACCCTCGGTTCACATCTGTGCAGGTTGTGTCTCTGCAGGACCCACACAAATACCTGCAGCAGCACCACACACACAGAGGAATGCGGGACCCACCTATTTCTAATGGCACGCCGTCCACACTGGAAATCGCAACCGTACTGGGAACCTCGGTTCCTGTGTGGGGTGCGATTTCCAAAGTAGTGTAGGGACTTCTTCTCTGCGTATCCTGGCACGGGAGTCCATTCAAATGAGTGGGCTCTCGTGTCCTTTCAAATATTGGCCCACATGACCACACAGCTGTGAACCAGGGCTTAAAGTGTGACAGCGCTGAAAGTTGAAAATTGCCCTGGGCAGGAAGGGGGTGAAAGTTACCAGTAGGCAAGTGGTTAAAAAAAACTGGCTCCTAACTTTTTTAGCTTGCTCCTAGATTCAAAACAAATTTGTCAAGCCCTGTCTAAAAGCTTCAACTCTTCTGGGAAGGCTGTCCACAAGGTTTAGGAGTGTGTCTATGGGAATGTTTGACCATTTTTCCAGAAGCACATTTGTGAGGTCAGGCACTGATGTCGGCCGAGAAGGCCTGGCTCGCAGTCTCCACTCTAATTCATCCCAATTCTATATAGTTGAGGTCAGGACTGTGCAGGTCAGTCAAGTTCCTCCACCCCAAACTCACTCATCCATATTTTTATGGACCTTGCTTCGTGCACTGGGGTGCAGTCATGTTGGAACAGGAAGGGGTCATCCCCAAACTGTTCCCACAAAGTTGGGAGCATGAAATTGTTCAAAATGCCTTGGTGTGCTGATTCTTTAAGAGTTCCCTTCACTGGAACTAATTGGCCAAGTCCAACCCCTGAAAAACAACCTCCCACCATAATCCCTCCTCCACCAAACTTTACACTTGGCACAATGCAGTCAGACAAGTACCTTTCTCTTGGCAACCACCAAACCCAGACACGTCCATCAGATTGCCAGAGAGAGAAGCATGATTCATCACTCCAGAGAACACATCTCCAATGCCCTAGAGACCAGTGGTGGCGTGCTTTACACTGCTTTGCATTGCACTTGGTGATGTAAGGCTTGGATGCAGCTGCTCGGCTATGGAAACCCATTCCATGAAGCTCTCTACGCACTGTTGTGCTAATCTGAAGGCCACATGAAGCTTGGAGGTCTTTAGCTATTGACTCTGCAGACAGTTGGCAACTTCTGTGCTGAACCCACTCTGTCATTTAATGTGGCCTACCACTTCACTGAGTTGCTGTTGTTCCCAATTGCTTCCACTTTTTGTTATAATACTACTTACAGTTGACCGTGGAATATTTAGTAGCAAGGAAATTTCACAGATGGACTTATTGCACAGGTGGCAACCTATCACGGTACTATGCTTGAATTCACTGAGCGGGTGACAGCAGCTCATTCTTTCACAAATGTTTGTAGAAGCAGTCTACATGCCTAGGTGCTTGATTTTATACACGTGTGGCCATGGAGGTGATTGGAACATCTGAATCCAATGAATTGCAGGGGTGTTCCAATACTTTTGACAATATAGTGTATGTATCTAATTATAAAAAAAAACTTTTTAAAATGTTTTAATTTTTTTAAGTGATCACATGACCTCTGTTCACAGCTACATAAGGAGCTTAGAGAGCTAGGGTGGACACTGCAGGGGAGCATGGGAGCAGAATTCAGAGAAACAACAGTAAATGGATCTTTCCAGTGAATAGCTGTGCAGGAATGATGGGGGGGGGGGGGGTATGTCAGCCTGAACATTGTCTGAATATTGGAGTACAGACGGACGAAGCTCCCAGTACAGTCAGAAAAATGACCACGCTTGGATGGATGTGCCACCATGCCGAGCATGGTCAGTTTGAAACTAGAAAGCAGGAGGACTGGGAGGTTTTTCACACAAAGAAAGCAACGCAAAGAGAACAGGATAATTTTGCATACTAGTACATGGTACAATGGGTACATATCAGGATTACAGTATGTTGGGGTAAGATACATTTTAGCTGTATCTGAGCATCACAAATCAAAACCACTATTTACTCCATTTTTAATATTCAAAGCAAACTCACCCATCCATCCATATCCCTATGCTTTATTTTGTTGAGAAATTACTTTAAAAGAAACACATAGCATTTCTAGTCATGGCCATCTTGACTAAGGGCAGATGATTCATGTAGCATTTACTTCCTGGTATTATATCTGTTCTTAGCTCAAGCAAGCATACAGGTATGGTGTGCTTAGCTGAGGAGCCCCTCCTCCACTCCTTCATATGAAACAAATGCCCATGAAGACTGCCAAAATGTTTGACATCATTTTAGGCCAGAAACCAGGAAGCAACTAAATAAATGTAAAAAAAAATGTTTTAGATCAATTAAAATATAATATTCTTCTATTTATTAAGGCTAGCAATAAAATAATTAAAAATAGTTAATGCTGACTGATAGAGAAAAGTTCCGCTTTAAGGGGAACATAAGTAGGCTGGAAACAGGTGAACCTGGGAATTGAAAGGTGATATGATATGATGTTTTATGGTATGTAGATTGTAAGCTCCAAGGAGCAGGACCCTCCTATCCCTCTTGTATTGAACTGTATTGTTGCTGTATTGTCTCCCATTATATTGTAAAGCGCTGAGCAAACTGTTGGCGCTATATAAATCCTGTATAATAATATAATAATAATAATAATAATATAATAATGTATGTAAGTTGTTATATAGTATATTATAATACATATGTGTGTTAACTACTTCCCATCCTTTGACATACCTGTATGTTGCTGGACTTATTTATTTTTATTTTATTTATTTATTTATTACAGGTACTTATATAGGGCCGTCAATTTATGCAGCGCTTTACATATATTGTACATTTACATCAGTCCCTAACCCTCAAGGGGCGTGCAATCTAAGGTCCCTAACTCACATTCATACATACACATACTAGGGCCAAATTAGACAGGATCCAGTTTGCCTACTGGCATGTCTTTGGAGTGTGGGAGGAGGCTGGGGTGCCTGGAGGAGACCCATGCAGGCACAGGGGGAACATGCAAGCTCCAGGCAGGTGGTACCATGGTTGGGATTTGAACCAATGGCCAGGTGGAAGTGCTAACCATTTATCCACTGTGCTGCCCCACTTTTGGTGCTTATAATGGAATGATGCCTGCCGCTTCAGATATCATCCTGGTATCTTTTATAGAGTCGGTGGTCAGCTTTCTTGTAATAGCAATTGGAGTGGCTACCTAGCTGCTTGATTGCTATTACAAGCAGCAGGAGGGGACATACCCCCCCCCCCCCCCCCGTTGCCTTGTGTGGCTTGCTCCAGCTCTCCTGTGACACCGGGAGACCTGAGCTACCAGCCGGTGCATCCACTGGCTGGCTGGACAGCTGAACAAAGCCAAAATCAGCTTTGATCGGCTCTTCGTTATAGTAAACCAGAAGCGATGCCCTGACATCACTTCTGGTTTACTCAACGCCAGTTTACAAAAACTAAAAGCATTAAAAAACACTGATCTTAGCTTTAAGTGCAGAGGAGAGATTTGAGGTCTTATAGACCCCAGATCCCTCCATAAAGAGTACCTGTCATGTGCCTATTGCTGTCACAAGGGATGATTACAGTACATTCCTTGTGACAGCAATAAAAGTGATCCAAAACAAATTAAAGCAAGTGTGAAAATTTAAAAAAATATTAATGAAATTTTTTTTTTAAGTGATCTCATCCTCACGTGCTTGTGCGCAAAGGCGAATGCGTGCGTCGGTCCCGCATGCAGGCAAACAATGATCGACTCACACATGTGAGTTATCACCGTGAACATCAGATCATGTGCAGTAATTCTAGCATCAGAACACCTCTGTGATTTTAAAACCTGTAAAGGCTTTTAAAGCATCCCCTATGGATAGCAAAATTTACGTTGTTTGTCACCGTGTACGCAATTTTAAAGCATGACATGTTTGGTATCTATTTACTTGGCATAACATTATCTTTTATAATTTACAAAAAAAAAATGGGTTATGTATTGTGTTTTTTTGTATTAAAATTCAAAAAAAGTGTATTTTTTCCTTGCCTTTTAAAAACCTCTGTGTAAATACCATGTGACATAAGAAATTGAAAAACCCACCAATATATCCTCTAAGGCCTCTGCTTTAAAAAAAATATATAATGTTTGGAGGTTCTAAGTAATTTTCTTGCAAAAAATACTGATTGTTAAATGTGAACAAAAAGTGCCAGAAATGGCTTGGACTGGAGGTGGTTAAACAGCTGAAAAGAGAATTTGCTATAAAACTGGTGTATCTAAAACCTGGGCCTTAAATATTTCTACAAATATAGTAGTAGATAGATTTTTACTGGTAATATAAAAGTTGGATACAGTGGATAAATATTTCCAACAAGGCAAAGCTAGGAAAATAATCAGTGAGTGAAGTATTAGCTTTAAAAAACAGAAAACGGAGTTTGGGTCTCTGGATTACTTGACCTCTACGCCCCTCTCCTTTGTTTGAAAAATACCTCAAAGACTCTGAAGTAATTTGTGCAGCCAGACCTTGAAGAGTGTGTAGTGAGCCAGCTTATCTAAATAAAATCTGCAATTAATCAAAGCCAGTTGCCTTTGGTTTCCCAGGTCCTGTTTATTTAAAACTTTTGCCACTACAGCACATTTGCCAGAATATGCAGAGAATCTGCCTCCGCTCTGAATTCTTAATTATGAATCCTATAAACACATAAATTCCATCCATGTGTTTTACATAAAACCTTATTATTGATATTAGAAATTACTACCGAATTAAAACCCACCTTACAGTGCTACAATATGCAAAACATTGTACATTCTAGATTAAAAAAATATTGAGTGCTACTAAACTGAGGCTCTGTACATGAATATGCTAAATGCAAAAGCTACAATCAGTGAATCAATTTTAAGAGTGGGAGGGGGGGGTGAAAAGGAAAAATTCTGTTTTTGTATAACAGGGTGACTTTCAAGCAGACAGCCTTTTGCACATTTGCAAAAATGAACCAAAGAACAGGTTGACTGAATGCACCTAGTCTAAAGCTGGCCAGATTTCTCCATTCACACAGATGAGGTGGATGGAGTAATTCCAACCACCATAACATTGTGTTTGGACAGCAGCTGTCAAAATATACTGATCAGCACCTGTAGCTGCTGATTGGCAAAAGTTTTCCAGATTGTCCCTTCAATAGAAGTTGATCAAACTCTCGACTGTCAAAGAAGGATAAGCACACACTGATCAAAATTGGGCTGGTCGTTGCTGAACTTTGATCTATCTATGACCAGCTTAACATGCTAATCTCCCAGGGACTGGGCACTCCCAGGATACAGTGTGACAATGCTCCAAATTACTTATTCCATCTGAATGGCAGTACTCACATACCTCCAAGAATTTTTATTCTTAGCTCATTCATAACTCTTGTTATCAGTAGGGTATGTCAACTGATGACTCAGTCTAACAATTTTCCTGTTTACTGATACCTGACATTGTGAGGTCAATGTCTCCCACAATAGAGACAATCCAACTGTTTCCTTATCTATAGACACAGTACATACTGGATCTGTTATAAGGCAAATTGAAAAATTTATCTCCATCCCTATTTCTGCTCTAGCATGCTTGCTCTATGTGTTTGTGCTCCAAACCTCACTCCCAGACCCACTTCTTGTTTCTGCAGAAACTTTCTGAAGCCAAGCTCTCCAGCCACCCACTGTTTCCCCTCTGGCTGGTCTGTGTACACAGCTCCCTTCATTGGCTCACCATTTTATAGATACACTGTGTGGTTACCACCATCCCTGTAGCCACGGTCATGTGACACTCCAGAGTCTTCTCTTCCGTTTGCTTCTCTACTGCTCCAAAATACTTGCATTCAACTTTTAGCTACATCCAAGGACCCATGTGTTCTTAAGGAACATGCTATGTTGTTAAACATTCTATAACCTTTATCCATTTTCTTTGTTTTTGTATTTTGGGTCCATTGGCAGTAAAAACAAATGGACCTGTAGCACCAAGCCCAGAATGAAGCTGCAGACAACATTTACTTTCAAGAACTGTATTGTGAAGTGAGCACTTTGTCTAAATGCAACTTTTCTATTCCAGCATGGGGTAGGCTTAGTGGACCTAAGGAACATTTAATAGAATGGTATATGGGACTTTTTCTGGCAAAGCTAAAAGGTGCTTCCATTATAATAGCTAGAGGTGAAACAATGAAAATAAAGCCTATAAAAATTAGGCACCGGCTTTTGTTTTTAGTGAGGAATTTTATATATACACTATATATATGATAGATGTTGATATTATGTACTCGTGAGAAAGAAACTTAACTTAACATTTGCAAACACAGAAAAATTGTCACACACAGTTAGCTGCTGTGTCTTTTTAGATGTAGGTGTACTGTTATGCTGTGTGCAGTGACAGGTCAGCTTTACCAATGTATATAAATAGCCAAA